TAATTTTTAGAGTAGATACTAGACCTAATCTCGAATCCTAGATAATAATCCAACCCTAGTAACTAAGAAGGAGAGCTCATAAAATCAAATTTCTTTGTATCTTGAGAAATTCCAATTGAAAATTTTGTATATACATGTTCAATATACCACATCAAAATTGTTAAGATATTTAATTGTTACCCGACTACATACTTTTTTTTTCTTTCTAACATCTGACATTCCATTAATTTGTAAGAGTTTTTACACAATCTCTGAAGAAAATTAATGAATACAAATAAAAAAATAGTAAGAAGTGATCTTTCACTTTTTGTATCATTCGAACACCTACAAATAACTTGATACAATAATATACATAGCGACCAAATTAATCATTGTTATGCCCATTTTTCAATCATATACAAAATCGGTATATGCTTTGTTTATAGCGACGTCGCTAGAAAGTAACTATACCATTGGGAGACAAAACAATTACTTGGAACCGATATTATTAGAACCGACCGTGCTTGAATGAAACAAACATGTACCATCACTTCATAACATCCACCGGTATGTGATCCTCCACCGGAATTGTTTAGAAAAGCTGATGTAATCTAAACCATCCAAATAGATGTGAGTATAATATAAACCACTTCTCCTCTCCTTTTCCATCAATCTCTTTCAGTTATGTATATCAAGAGAAGCCAATAGTTTGGTTGACTTTATGTTAAGGCTTTGTGACATTAATGAAACAATTGAGTCTTTGAGTTAATATAGAAAAAAATCATTCTTTATTACACCAAGTATTGACTAATATGTTGCAAACTATACCAAATATAAAAATGTGTTATAAACTATACAGACTATTATATAATACATGGTAACATACACCAACTATATGTAAACATGTTAAAAACTACAAATTGATGATTTTTTTTATAAATATTTATCAATTTGGAGTCAATTTGTAATTATTTTTATGAAAATCCAAAAAATTAAGAACATAAAAACTTTAACAAATCGAAAGAAAATCAATAAAGGTTCAAAAATATAAGGAAAAAAATATATTAAATTTTAGATAAAAACTAAAATTAGAGTTTCAATTTTACTTTTTATAGAAGATTCAATTTGTAAAATCCCAAATTTTTTAAAATTACAAAATTTATTAATCTCTTAAAGGTAATTGAAAATGTAATGTATATATTTTAAAATTACAAAATTATATATTTTGAAACCATTGAATTTTTTGACAAAAATAAACAGAAGTTTTTAAAATTTTGGTCAACAAATATAGTTTAAATTATATTGAATAAATTTCAATAATTTAGAATAAAATACATAAACGACATATATATTACGCTTATTCTTCGGAGAATAATTGTTACTTGTCCTTTTGGTACTATCCCAACATTAACTAGTGAATTTTAAATTTAATTTAATTTTGAAATTCAAAATTGAAAGTATAATCTAATTTCTATCTAACTATAAATTGTTGTTTAAAAAAATATTTTTTTAGATTTATTTTGAAATTTTGTAGTATTATAAATTTTGGTAATTTAAGAAATTAATTTCGTTTCCAAAATTAAATTTGAAAATATAATGAAATATTTATATCAACCTTCACTTTATGTATTTTCGTAAATTTAATGTTTTGGAATTATTTTGTTGTTTTTGAATTTTGTAATTTTAGAAACTTTGGGATTTTAGAAATTTAATTATTATTTTCCCCTATATTTCTGAAATTTTATGGTTTTTTCTTTCAATTTGTTAAATTTTGTAATATCTATTTTTTTTTGGATTTTTTATATTTTTATGAAAATAATTACAAAGTGACTCCTAAATTAATAAATATTTATAAAAAAACACCAATTTGTAGTTTTTTTTAACATGTTTACATATAGTTGGTGTATGTCACTATGTATTATATAATAGTATGTGTAGTTTAAAACACATTTCTATATTTGAGATGCTTTGCAACATATTAGCCAATACTTGGTGTAGTTAAGAATGATTTTTCTTTTAATATATGGTACTTGTAGATAAAAAAAAGTTGAGTCTTTGATAAATCAAAAGTCAAATAAGATTGTATATAACTAATCTTTTGAGTATATAATATTTTTTGTTTTTTTCTTTGAATTCATTTTTTTAAATACGGTAAAACCAAAATCATGTCATGAAGACATGAACATACAAACGAATCGTTTATAGAATTAGTTAACAGCTAGCTGTTCACACAGCATGACAACAACAATGGCAATATAGAAAGACTAAGCACTGATGAACAACCCAACACATCCAGTTACTATATTAACAACTAGCCAATAGTTCATCCACTATAACAATAATTACCATATTAAAAACTAAGCATGATCCATCCACCCTACCAATGCATCCATATTTAAGTAGTGTGTGATCTTTTCATTTGTAGCAAATCAAATTCCTGTAACCATATCACAAAAGAAAATGGATAAGACGGAGCTTCCTACGAACGTGGGAGAAGACAGCATAAGCGAAGAAACAAAGACTTTGATATTTTCGCTTCCTTCATACAAAGATTCTATAGGGAAGCTCTACAACTACCAAGGATGTTGGTACTACCCCAACACCCTCGAAGGAGTCCTCAATTTCCAGAGAGGTTTCAAGCCTCAAGGCACGGATATAATCCTAGCTTCTTTCCCCAAATCAGGCACCACTTGGCTCAAAGCTCTCACAGTAGCTCTCCTTGAGAGATCCAAGAACCGTCCTTCTGATGATCCTCATCCTTTAAAAACCGATAATCCTCATGGCTTAGTACCATTCCTAGAGATCATGCTGTATAGCAAAAGCTCAACACCTGACCTGACCAGGTTCTCATCTCCGAGGATGTTCTCGACTCACATGCCGTTTCATACGCTTCAAGCACCCTTCAAGGAGGACACTCCTTGCAAGATCGTGTATGTGTGCAGGGACGTGAAGGACGTTTTGGTCTCACATTGGTATTTCAAGTGCATTTACCTTAATAAAGAAATAGACAAAAGCGTCCTCGAACCTATGTTTGAGTCTTTATGTAGGGAAGTTGGCTATTTTGGACCCATTTGGGAACATGTATTAAGCTATTGGAGAGGAAGCTTGGAAGATCCCAAGCATGTGCTTTTCTTGAGGTACGAGGAGTTGAAAGCGGAGCCTGTTGTGCAGGTTAAGAGACTTGCTGAGTTCTTGGGTTGTCCTTTCACTGAGGAAGAAGAAGTGAGTGGATCCGTAGACAAGATCTTGGAGCTTTGCTCTCTGCGTAATCTGAGCGGTTTGGAGGTTAACAAGACAGGAAAAACGTCGAACAATCTGCAACACCATAGCTTTTTCCGCAAAGGGGAAGTTGGTGACTCCAAGAATCATCTGACTGCTGAGATGGAAAACAAAATCGACATGATCACCGAGGAGAAATTTAAAGGCACCGGTTTGAAATTCTGAGTGATTTGTGATTCATGCTTTATTTAATGGAATAATTGTAATAATAATTGCATAATTGAAGTTGTAATAATAAAGTCAACCCTAATAATAAAGTTAAGCTTTTGTGAATTTTTTCAGTTCACCATTTCTCAACTTTCGTCTCATTTTTTTTTATCCAACTAATTTTTATAGATTATTTAAAATATTAAAATCTAACAAAGAATACATTGGTAAGGACTCAACTAAAATATATGCCGTACAAAGTACATGAAAGATATAGATAGCAAAAAAGAGTCTTAAAAGACAAAAAAAGTTATGAAGGATGCTTTTTAACTTATTGACAACACCTCTAGACTTGAAAAGCTTTACATGAGAAAACGATTAAATCATTGGACTTGGGCGGGAAAAAAAACTCTTCCAATCCCAATCGAAGCTATTAACCTTTTGAAAAATAAAATAAAATTTACCACTTAATGGAAACTTAGAACTCGTTTAGTTTAAAAAGTGGCCCAAGTTAGGCTTTCAATTTTCAGTTTCGAACTTTCGATTGGTGATCTGAATTAGTAAAGGTAAACGTATGGAAGTTGGTAGAACTTTAATCTTCTTCTTCATCGCTTAATTGCACTATATTTTTAGTCAACGGCACTTGTAATATATTTGGCACGTAGAATATTTGGTGTATCTTTCGAAATTGTCGTTATATTTTAAAACAAAACAAAATATTTGTAATGCTTTTTACCATTATGCCGTTGTATAGTTTCCAGTCATTTCGCAAACTTTTTAATCATAAGAATCAATTTTGTCATTCTGCTACTTTTGATTACTTTTCTTGTAAAAATGTGTTCATCTTATTCCACCTATATATCATATTCTATTTTTTTTTTCTTACAGAACTCATGATCAGAACAATTCAAATCATGTTTAATTTGAATCAGAAGTCACACACCTCTATTTCATGA